CCCCAGATATGACAGTTAAAGAGGATACATGGCTTCTTACCTTTGATGGTTTACCTCTTTTCCCCACCACCAATTTGCAAACCTCAAGTATGCTCATCAATGTTGTAGCAATTTATTAAACCAGTGTGTTGACACATTGGGCTTTAATGTACCTATAAAATATTATTTACAATGTTTGGGGAAGTATAGAAAATCAAAGAGGATAAACTAATTTTAGCCCAAAACAGGTGTTTATGATTTTAATGCATCTTGTCACATGGAACCATGAAAGTTTTCACAAATTCTGTAGCTGGTTTCCTGTGCATTTGGCAGTGCCATCACATTTCTCTGACAGACAGCTTTCCTCTGAGCTATTTGGGCTCCACCTTGGACCACACTTCCACCCCACACATGGCTCAGGCCTCCCTTGTCCAGGGCTCCCCGTGGATCCACATAACGTCGGCCAGCAACTTCTCTCTGCTCTCCCCCCCGCCTCCTCCTGTCTCAGCTGACTCACACCTAGCTCCGCTGCTGGACCAAGGGCAGAGGCACCTGAGTCCGAGCTTGGCTGCTATTCCAGGGGAGTAGCTGGCTACCCCTGTGCAGCCATCACTAGCAAACCTGGGATTGCTTTAGGACTTCTCAGGGAGCAGAAGTGAAAAAGAATAAAAACAAACGAGTTTCAGATGTGTGGGACACTACATGCAACTTACAGGGAGGGAGTCCCGGAAGGAGAGGAGACAGAGCAAGGAGCAAGGAAAGAATGTAAAGAGGGAGTCTGAGAGAGAATGGCTACGTGTATAGGTATGGCTGAGTCACTCTGCTGTGCACCTGAAAAATCACATTATTAATCAGCTTTCCTCCAATACAGGGTTTCCCTGGCGGCTCCGTGGTAAAGAAGCCTTGCCTGCCAATGAAGGAGATGCAGGTTCCATCCCTGTGTTAGGAAGATCCCCTGGAGGAGGAAATAGCAACCCATTCCAGTATTCTTGCCTTAAAAATGGGCAGAGGAGCCTGGCAATCTGGGTCCATGGGGTTGTAAAAGAGTCAGACACAACTAAGCATGCCCATGCATGCATACTCCAATGGAAAATAAAAAGTTGAAAATTTTGAATATTTAATGGTTGAAAATTTCACAATATTGATGAAAAACTGTGAAGCATTAACGTTCAAAACCAAGAAACTCAGTGAACTCCAAGTAGGATAGAGTTTCAATATCATAGAAGAACCAGTGCGATTTCCCCCACTCCTCCTTACTTTCTATCCTAGATCTCATCATTTTATTTCCAGCCCAGGCCTCTCTTCAGATAGCACCTCTGGCTCATTCTCTCCTACAGCTTCTCCTTCTGTGTTATGTTAATGCAAGAGAAATGCTGGGGTGGAGCTACTTCTGGGGTCTATGACATCATTCAGACACGGGGCTTCTTCTCCTTGATCTAGAAACCAGAGTGCTCTTAAGGGAAAAGTAACTCCAACAATACTGTCTGTGTGCAGAAGAGGTAGCTGCCCACTTTCTCCAAATAATGTCTTCTATTATTAGAACCTTTTAAGAAGAGTTGCAAGAAATTCTTTCTTTAAATTACTTTTTAAATTGTAGTAAGATATACATAATAGAAAATTTACCTATTAACCAGTTTTAAGTGTGCAGTTCAGTGGCATTAAGTACATGAACATCACTGTGCAACCGCCACTATTGTCCATCTTAAAAAAATGTTCCCCTTCCCAAATTGGAGCTCTTAACCTGTTAAGTAGTAATCCCCCATTACCCCTTAACCCCCAGCCCCTGGGAATCACCATTCTACTTTGTATCCCATGAATTTGCAAGAGATTCTTATATAAATAAATGCAAGAGCCTTGAGCATGATCACATTGTCAGTCTTGAACCTCATTTATCACTTACACCTTAATAGGTAGCAGGCGAAACCTGTGCAAACAGACTGTCAGAGAACAGGGATGGAGAGGGAGCTGCGGAGGGAACAAGCCATCACAAACAAGCCTGCCTGACTTCATCCAGCCCCCGACAACCAGGTGGAGCCAAGGTTCCTCCTACCTTTTCCTGCATGTGTACAGGGAAGCTAGAGAGGCCTCGCTCTCCATACTTTGGGCATCTTGTGAGCTAGAGAAAGAGGTGAGAAGTAATATCCTCGCTCATCTGGGACAACTGAGAGATATCCGAAGCCTGATGAGGGCATCTGTTCTTGTTTTCAAATGAAGAATAGCCCCAGTTCAAAGCGACTGCCCCCACCTGGGCATTCCTTCTCTAGCCTTTCTACAAACTTCACGTATTGAGAAGAATGGAGGACGCAGTGGAAATATTTGTGGAATTGCTTCCAGAAGCCACAGCCCTAGTCCTGATCCTGAGGTTTGAGAAAACTCAATTTATGGCTTGGTCTGGGAGGTCCCAGTCTTTGACTTGGAGTAGAATTTCCACCAGAGAGGATCCTGGGAGTGAATGGACTCCTGAATATCTTTAGGAGAACAGGTGAAGAGCAGGAGGTGTTCTTTTTTCAGAAGAAGAGAGTTACACTGACAGGACACTAGACATGATAGCTCCCCTAAGTTAAGGACTGTCAGACTGCCTGGGGTGAATTTCTTCCTGTGGTTCCAGAGCTGGGACAGAAGAAGTAAAAGAAACAGAAGTGATGATTAATATTTATTGAAATATTTTTACACACCAGGTACTTTGGAAGGAATTTGTAAATGTACTGTGTCATTTTATCCTCAGAATTCTGTGGGGATTCCTTATACCAAGGATGAAAAAGGAACTCACAGAGTTTAAATAACTTGGTAAGTCACAGTAACACAGAGATTCCAGAAGAAACTCAAGTTAGTCAAACACTATAATTCACTGAGGTGTATGGATGACTAGAAAGCCCCAGGGAGACAGACTTCATTTCAGAGAATAAGATGGGATAACCTAGACCAAGCCACGGGATCCAGATAGATCTGAGAGCAGCAGGCTGAACGGTCCTGTGGCCAGTGGGACCGGGAGAAAATAGAAGAACAATACCTTCTGATTGAGAGAGGGCTGGCTAGTGCTTGAGAGATCAGAGTCCAGTGCCTGTGGAGAACATAACAAGTAATATTTTCCTTAAGTAAACTTTGGACCCACGCCAAACTTCTGCTGCTGAGATTTACTTAATAGGGGAGGATGCTAAGCTGTGAGAGGTGGTGGACCTGAATTTTGGGATGGCCAAGAAGAGAATTGTCCTCTGGAGGTGAACCTGGTGAGGTCTGTAGGAACCTTTCCAGCAGGGCTGCTGAAGGCAGGCAGCTGCCTTGAAGGGGCTCAATAGCTGGGAGATCCTTAGGTGGGAAGATGGGACTGCACTGGGAGTTTCCTGAGGACTGAGTCTTGACTTGGGTGGTGCTCTGGGGTTCAAAATAAATGTCACAGAACTTAGGAGGGACTGTATGGGGGCTCTTCACTGCTCTTGCCTCCCCCTTCCACCGTCAAGTATTCTTTCCACCTGGCAATGCAAACATTTAATAATGAGATTGTTTTCCCCTAGAACATACAAACAAGACATAATTCCTATGGGTGGGTGGTAGAAAATAAAGGGAAAAAATGACTGATTGATCTCAAAGATGCATCACTGATTAAAATTTTGTTGGTAAATCCCTCACACTGAATATTAGGCAAATGACCTTCTGGCAAGATATATCTATAAAAATATGATCAAATTTACCAAAGCATTTTTGTATCCATCAATCGGATTTGATGTGTGTTCAGTGATTATTCAGGATTACGGAGACTGCGAAAATTCAGGTGGGAAATGTCATGCAAGGAGTAATTAACATTTTTTAAAGATTTATTTGTTTATTTTTGGCTGCACTGGCTCTTTGTTGTCACGCGCGGGCTTTCTCTAGTTGCGGCGAGTGGGGGCTACTCTTTGTTGCAGTGCACAGGCTTCTCACTGTGGTGGCCTCTCTTGTTGCAGAGCGTGGATTTAAGCATGTGGGCTTCGGTAGCTGCGGTGCACAGACTTAGTTACTCCCCGCCATGTGGGATCTTCCCAGACCAGGGATCGAACCATTGTTCCCTTCATTGGCAGGCAGACTCTTAACCACCAGACCATCAGGGAAACCCAGTTAACATTTTGATGAATATAGAAGAACCTCCAGTTGATTCGTTATAGTTACCTAAAGTGTTAAAGCGTGGTTTTAAACTATGTGACTTCAGACATCTATTATTTGAATATAATATTGGTATATTAGACACAGGCTCATCTTTACAGTAAAAGTCATGTTATTTTAGCCAACATATTATGTGGAGTTTTGTATAATTGTCGAGGAATAAACCCAGAAGGAGACCCTCATCACATGGAAATGAGAACACTGGTCTACAGCACAGTGGGTTGGTGTGGAAAAGGGTTTAGAACTCTGTCCACAGACACTTGGGTTGCTCCCATCTCTTGGCCATTGTGAATAGCACAGCTTTGATATGGGTGTTTGTTAGATATTTTAAAGAAAGTAGATTTTTTTTCTTTCTTCTATTTCTCCTATGGTTGATATTTTCATTTAGATCTTTGATCCCATTTGGGTATTATTTAGGCTTATGATGAGATGCAGACCCGATTTTATCTTTTTTCCCCAAATGACTGTTTGTTTCATTGCAATCTATTAAAATGCATTGTTTTCCAGTGATTTGCATTGCCACATTTATTCTTAAATTGAGCCTCGTATGGAATTTCAACTGTTCCCTTTTTTTTATGTCCTATCCAGGCCAATGGCATGTGGTTCTCAGGTACCTAAGGGGGCATCTCTGGTAGAGTGGAGAGCAGGGAACCTTACTCTGGGAAGACGTAGGTCCCTCCATCCATCCCCAGGCTGTGGGTAGAGGGGACACAGAGGAATGGATGGCTTGGAGGAAACAAGAAGCTCCTGCTGACCCCAGGACACTAGGAATCGGGATTCACTTGTCCTGAGAAAGAGACCCCATCTTCCTGATGAAGCTTACCCTCAGTCCTGGCACACTTCGTTGTACACGAATCATGTTTAATGAACACATTAGAAATCAGTCATTTCCACCCCAGGCTAGGGCGTTTATTAAGGCTCTGGGAACTGCCCTGGAGCTGGGCTCTGCCCCAGAGAAGGAGACTCAGTCTCGGGATGTCACTCTGGTCTCCACTCTTTGAAGCGTCTCATTGTTCTCCTTATCCAGGGCAGGAAGCTGGAAATTCTGGTGAAGACTGCTGGAGGGGTCCCCATCCTATCTCCATAGGAGACAATGCCCTGGGCCACATTATTACACACGAGGGGGCCCCCGGAGTCCCCCTACAGGCAGAGGAGGGAAGGGACCCTCAGTTGTCCAGGCCTCCCTACTTCTGTCGCCCCCTCCCAACCCTCAGAGAGGACGGGGGTTGAGGAGAGCTCCTTGCAGTGCTGTTGTTTGTGAGATGGGAGGGTGGTGGGGTGCAGAAGAAAAGCTCTTGAATTTTCCCATCACCGGGCTTCAGCCCTGACTGTGGTTGCTTCTCCAGCCCAACCCAGGTCAAGGCGCCTTCACTGGCCCCAGGAAAACACTGCACATGAACATCCTGTGTGTCTGGTCCTTCTATTCACCCAGAGACTGGATGGATGGGGGAAAGCACCCCCCACATCCCCCTGATCTAGGCCCCAGACTGCAGCCATGGGAATGTGGTCCGTCCCACTGCCGAGTCTGCCCAGGGTCCCCTGTCAGTGTTGGCAGATGCCGTGGTCTTACCACAAAGGCAGACTTCCTCTGTCTCGGGTCCCCCACACAGATCTGTGTTCGGCCGTTGTATGACACGAAGCGTCTTCTGCACACCCCGTCCCTCTGCACCCTCAGCTGCACACACTGGAGCGTGTCTGTTCTCGTGTTTGGACCAGTCAGGCCCCAGCCGGCCACGGTGCACCGGGTCCCAGGCCTGAGTCTGTTCTGAGTCTGAGGCAGAGGCACCGGCCTCACGAATCGATTACGCTGGACTCTGTTCGCCAGCTGACAAGAAGCGTGCAGGCACTGAGGGACTGTCTATTCTACACTCTCCCCATGCCCCCCACCGCCCTGGGGGTCTGCCCAGCTTCCCCCCTCCCTGATCCCAGGACACAGGAAGACCCCCACCGCCCTGGGGGTCTGCCCGGCTCCCCCATCACTGATCCCAGGACACTGGAAGCCCCCAGGCTGGGAACGAGCCGCCCAGCTGAAGAACCAGAGGGTCGGTACCTGCAGTAACATGATGTCATTGCTGTGGCTCTGCAGCGGACTGTATCCGGGGTGGGGGATGGGTCTGACCACAGGGATGCGCTGCTGCGTGCCTTCCAATGTCCTGATGTTGTGGGCCCCCAGGATGACATTCATTTGGCTGTAAAGGAGAGAGGGCCTAGAGGTAAGGTCTGAACCACAGGAACTGTGGTCCGCAATACAAGTCAAGTGACTACCCAGGGTTGCCAGACCTCAGCCGAGGGAACAGAGACAGGAGGGCTATGGGGCCGAACTTTGCGCCCTGGGTCTCCCCAGCCTTGAGCTGGAGGTGGTGGAGGACACAGTGATTTTGAATTTTGCCTCCCCAACAAGAGATTGTAAAAATACCTTGAAGTCATAATTTGAGCCCCAGTGTGTAGGTTTCAACTCCCCCTCTTGTTCTTTTTGATCAGGTCCTCCCCCATTCACACTGGCCTGCTTCTTGTCCACCAAGCTCTACATGGTCTTTTTTTTTAACCCACTCATGGCTAGAACCCTGTTTCAGAGACTCCTCTCATGAGCTCTTCTGGACCTGCCTTGCTGGTGCCCAGAACTCCCGTAAGTCCTCACCTTCCCAGGCAGTGAGCTGCCGTCATCACAAAGTCTTCACGCACCAGGAACCCCCCACAAACTTTCCGACGTACTGGAGTTCGTATCTGAATAAATGCCATGTATGGGTAGGAATGGGGCCTGGCCTCTCGGCCTCCGATGATCTGCCCTGGAAGGAAGCACTAGGATTATCTCTGCACTGGCAGATGTGTCGACATCAGCTTGGTGGCTCCAGAAAGACTGGAAGTTGGGGAGCAGAAGAGATGCTGCAGGGGCAGGGTGAGCTGGTGGTTGCTGAGAATGGGGTCTGCAGGGCACAGAATTGGGGGAGGCTCCAGGACCCTGCAGGAAGTGCTGCTGGCTCTCCATCCAGCCTCAGCGCCCTCCCACCTGCCTGGAAGGAAGGGCCAGGTGCAGGCTCCCTCACAGGAGGGTTTCTCTGCTGTGGGGAGGGCAAAGCCAGAGCCCTCAGGAGGGGCCTGTCCCTGAAGTTCTGTGGCACTTTCTTCCTCAGGGAACTTTCCAGATGCCTGTGAGTCTAGCTCATGAATTTAAGGATCTAGAGATGAGCTGATGGGCCCCCTATCGCTGTATCTTGATCTCCTAGGCTCTGACACAGGGGCTGTAAACTCAGTTCAGAGAGCACATTTATACAGCAGGTAGTATGTACCAGGGCGGTTCTGAGAGCTTTATGTACACTCCGTCACTTAGCTCTCACAGCGACTCTCCAGGTAGGCTTGATATAATTTCTGCCCTCAGAATCTGAAGCTGAGAAACTGTGGAGTCATGCAAGCTGCCCAGGGATACAGGGCTAGCAAGTGTCTGGGCGGTCTGGCTTCAGGGTCTATGGGGTGGAGTTGGGGCCCTCAGGGTGGGAATGGTCACTCACCTGCCCAAACCCTGGGGAACAGGAGAAAGGCCACCAGGAGCAGGAGCGGCCGCATCTTCCCGGCGAGGCTGCCCAGTCAGTTGCTGCCCCTACTTCCTCCTGCCAGACTTTGAGCCCCTGGGAGAGGAAGGAAAGGTGAGGGTGGGGGGCGGGGGCTTGAGAATTCACAGTCCCATTCTCCTGCTGCTGTGATAAGTTTCATCACCCAGAGCTGCTCAAGAGGCTTGCCCACCAACTGCCAAGGACCTGGGGGAAGGCAGTAACTGAAGCCTTCAGTGCAATAGCCCGCACAGCTGCTGAGTCAGTGCCGGCCACAGAAATGGGAGCCCAGGGCACTGGGGGAGGGGTGCTTGGCACTGTGCCCCAGATCCCCAAACCCACCACATTCAATGATGTCCTCACAGGCATCAACACTGGGACCTGTCTACTTCCTCCTTCTCCCTCGGGGAATGGAACCTGTGTGTCTTCACCCCCTGGTCCTGAGCCCCACCCAGACCCTTGCTGCTCCTTCTTTCTAGAAGCTCTCAAGCTCCCTGAGTAGCTCTGCTCCTGGGCGGGGGGACGGGGGTGGGAAGGTGGAGGGCACGGCCAGAGAAAGAAAAGGAAGAGTGAGGCTCTGCCACTGACCATTTCTCTCTCAGGTACTTGAGCCCCCAACAAGCTCTCAGTGAATCACGACACTGGGGACAGCTTCTATTCTTCTGCCTCCTCCTGAGGTGAATGTTTTGTGTCCCAGAAGTTTCCCTGCCTAAAGAAAAAGCCCAGTGACTTGATTTGGTTCACAGCCCTCAGACCTTGTGGAAAAGCATCTCAGATCCTATTCATCTAGGATAGACCCGTCAACCTAAACCTATCTCTGCTCCACGGGGGCTAGCTCCTAAGAAGGAGGCAGCTCACTGCTGTGCTACCTGTGAGACATGAAGAAGGGGACACTCACCATTGAGAGGAAAGGATGGGAGAGTTCTGTCGAGTAACACAGGGGGGTGGCAGACACACGTAAAACACTTGGAAGACTCTGTGTTGCCTCAGAAAGCACTACAGCATGGTTAAAGTTTTGCCAAAATGTCAGAATTGAATTCTAATACAATTTTCAACCTTTTGTGTATTGTTTTAAGGCCACTTGAAAATCTTACGATAGGTAAAGATCCTCTCTGCATATGTAAATACCTGCAGGTTATCACTTATTCTCAGAGCTGCAAAGAACTTAATCCTTTGTCTAATGTATGGTTTATGCTTGCAACCTTGTGAATTTCTTTAGGCATCTAAAAAGTAATATGCAGAAAACAGGAGGGGAAAAGTAAAAAATAGAATAACAGCTTTATTAGTGCCTTAGCATTTGGGTAATTGAAAATCATTGTTACTTACATTTTTTTCAGCACTTCATTTTATTTTAAAAACTTTAATGTAACTTTTTTAAAGGAAAGATTACAAATAGCATGCAAAGAAATGGGAGTCAAATATATATAATCATCTGAATGAAGATGTGCATAGCGGATTTCATTCACAGTGACTAGCATTTTATGCCAATCTTTCCTCCCAAAACTACCAAAACAAACCTGTTTAAAACGTCTAAAAACCTGAAAAGCCTTGAAGAACTGCCAACGCAGAAGTGACTCAGGCCACAACTGAAGGAATAACAAGCATCCAGTTAGATAATTATTATTGTTCTGCGTATATTTTCTGAACCCACAAAATTTGAACTTCTGTTTTTGTTTTTATAACTTCTGTATTAATGAATATATAATGTGAGGAGTGTAGAAATTAAAGATCAAGACCCTCACAAGCAGGTTTAATCAGGCCCCCCGCCATGATAAGCTGGGAATTAAAAGTCTACATACTCAAAATAACAAAAAAGAGTTAATGGGCTATTCCTTGCATGTAATAGCATGAAAGATGGTATTATCTAGATTTTCACAGCCTCTCATACATTGAACTTCCTTCTATTAATGTGATTACAGACGGTTTCTCAAAGTATCTGGCAAAATCAGATAGAAATGTAGAGGAAATTCACTTAATTTCAGTGTTTGAATTACAACCTAAATATTGTTTTTCAAATGTAATATGTATATAGTCAAATATAAAAAGATGAACAAGCAAACAAATACAGGATACCATGACTAAGAAACAATAGATAATAAGAATAGAGAGAAAAACTTTAATTATTGGGATATAATGTCATTAGTAAAATAAAATACAGATTACAAAACAATTGGCTGAAATAAAAGCTAGCTTTAAACACACTCCAGGGAACATTAACCTTACAAGATGACACAACATCTGCAAAAGAGCTAAATACAACTTCTAAAAGCAAAAAATATGAAAAAAACAAAATCAAAGTCACAGTGAATAAAGTTAATAACAGATTATACAAAGATGGGAAGAGAATAACTAACCTGAAAGAGCTTAGAAAGAATTGTCCAGAATGGAGCACAGACAGGTATAAAGATAAAAATATAGAAAATAGTAGAATTAGAAAGTTGAACATATGTTGGATTAGGAGAAAATAAAGAAAAGGGAAAATAGTAATATATAATGACATACTAGCTGAGATTATTTTTTAAGCTGATGACAAAAATGCAGTTAGAGGTTAGAAAAAGATAAATAAATCTCAACCAGAATGCAAAAAAAAAATTAACACTTAGAAATCAATATTATAAAGAAATGGCAGAAAATTTAAGGGCAAATAGATTAAGATAAACAGGTTAAATACTTTCAAATGAATGGGAGGTCAAAGGCTGAATTTTCAACAGCAGCAGGGAGTGGATGCTCCCCAGGAAGAAATACCTTCATGTCATTTGGGAAGATTTTAAAACTTATCTTATAAATTGATTAGTAATGATATAGATTAGTAATGGGTTTCCCTTGTGGTTCAGCTGGAAAAGATCTGCCTGCAATGGGGGAGAGCTGAGTTGGATCTCTAGGTTGGGATCCCACTGAGAAGGGAAAGGCTATCCACTTCAGTATTCTGGCCTGGAGAATTCCATGGACTGTATAGTCCATGGGGTTACAGAGAGTCTGACACGACTGAGTGACTTTCACTTTCATTTCACTTCAGTGATATAGAAGTTATGAATAGCTAATGAAAAAATGAATACATAATGAATATCTTACCCAACAAAAGCAGATTACACACTTGACAAGCACATACAGATGTTGACCATAGATTAAGCCATAGATTAGGTCTCAAAAGTGTTTAAAGGATTTAAATGATACATCATATTTAATATGCCACAATGAGTTTAAACAGAATTTCCTAACAAGAATATGAGCAGGAAATCCTTTTATCTTGAAAACTAAAGGAATAGACTGCTAAATACAGTGGTTCCTTGAACAACAGTGGTTTGAGCTGAACAGGTCTACTTATATGCTGATTTTTTTTCAATAGTAAATGCTAGACTACGGAGCTCTCCATGGTTGGTTGCAAAACCACAGAACATGAGGGCCAACTATAGGTTAGTTATACCCAGATTTTCCACCAGAAGAGTTGGTGCCCCTTATCTCCTATGCTGTTCAAGGGTCAACTGGAAATCATGAGTAAAATCATAATGAAAACAAAAAAATATCAAAATGATTAATGATCAGATTAGCAATAATGATCAGATTAATTTATAGTAAAATTTGTCGGGTATATCAGAATAAAGATGAAATGACCATTTAACACCATGCCTCAAATTAATTAATTGAAAGGTAAAAAATTAAACCTTTGAATATAGGATAATTTCTTTATACACTCATCATTGTAAAAACAGATTATATTGTATATTGTACAGATATTGTATTAATATTTTATATTATACAGATATAAGAAGCATTAACCACCAATAGTAATGGATGAGTTCATCTACACTAAAAATGTGTTGGGTGTATATGAATAAAGATAAAATTCTGATTACCAAAGACACTATTGAGATAGTGAAAAGTCAGCCGCATGGTGGGAGAACTAAGAAAGAGTTTTTATCCGGGAGAGAGGTATATATATAAATCATATCTATATTAACTTCTAGGTCATTGGGAAGCCAGTAATTTTGAAAATTAGCAGTAAAGAATCTGCCTTCTAATGCAGGAGACACAAGAAACATAGGTTCAAAAAAATAAAGAGAGAGAGACATGGGTTCAATCCCTGGGTAGAGAAGACTCCCTGGAGAAGGAAATGGCAAACCCCTGCAGTATTCTTGTACGGAAAATTCCATAGACAGAGAGGCCTGGCTGGCGGCAGTCCATAGGACTACGGGTCAGACCCGGCTGAGCGACTGGACAGCAGCACATGAGAGTGACGAATCCTTAGAAAATGTAACTTAATGAAACATACTCAAGAAGTTTGAATTTTCCTATGAACATTAAACAATTTGATTCAGTTTTCAAAAACAGTCCATCAAGGACAGCCCCAGGCTCACAGGGATTCACTGGAAATCTGTGGAAAAAAAGTTCCAAGAAGCAAAATCTAGATGCCAAACCCAGTGATGACAATGTAGGAGAGGAACATTATGGGCTAATGTTATTCCAGGATTGATGTAAGTCATATCGGTCAATAAGCAAAAATATTAGATCTTTCTAATTTGGGTTTTTCTGAGGATGAGTTGATTTTCATTCAACACACAATTACTGTATATTTGTTTCCTCCCTTCCCACACCTGTTGCTATTTCCTGATTATCATTTTGGTGTGCATCTGATTAATAAAGTTGTAGCTGAAGTCTTTAAAAACACACACACACACAATTGCTATAACAACATGTTGACTGATGAAAGAAGAAACACCATAGGATAATTCAACTGAAGGGGGAAAAGACATGTATTTTAAAAAATTTTTAGCAAAATAGGAACAATAAAGAGGCTCTTTATTCTGATAAAAGGTCTCTGCAAAAATCCCATACCAAGCATTATACTTAATGATGAAGTATTGATTGTTTTTCCATTTGAGAGCAAAACAAGACAAGGTCACACAGATAGCCATAATCATCATTTCTCCTCAACATTTTATGAGAGACTTTAGCCAGAACAGTTAAGCAGGAAATAGAAGGAAAGCTTCTATTTATAGACATAAGGACAGGAAAAGAGGAAATAAAACTGAGTATATGAGATATACTATACATCGGGAATGCCCAAGAATTTCCAGATCCATTATTATGATTACTAAGAGAGTTTGACAAATTTTCTAGGAACAGAATCATTTAAATATTAGTTATATTCTATATACATGGTAATACTGTCAGAAAATAAAATTTGAAAAAATTTTAAAGCATGAAAATTGTCAGATAAGTAAATATAAACCTAAAGAAAAGATATGGTGAAAATTATAAAACTTTATTAAGACACACTTAGAAGATTTAAGCAGAAATATATTCCATGTTCATGTTTGGAAGAGAAAATATTTTTAAAATGTCATTTCTCCAAAAAGTGATCTATAGATTCACTGTACCCAAGAGGTATTTCATAGAACTTGCTTGGTTCTAAATAGACACGGAAAATAGATGTGGAAAAACCCATGACCAAAACAGCCAAGTAGTCTTAAGGAATGAGAACAAGAAGGTAGGTCTTGCTTTAGCAAATGAAGTCATAGTAATGAAGATGGTGTGGCATTGATGGAGCATAGGGATATAGACTAAGGGACAAGAAAAAGAGGCCCCACACATACTGGGTCAATGATACACACATATCAAGGGCTACCAGGTGGCTCAACAGTAGAGAATCCACCAAATACTGCAGAAGACCCAGGTCCAATCCCTGGGTCGGGAAGATCCCATAGAAAAGGAAATGGCAACCCATTCCAGTATTCTTGCCTGGGAAATCCCATGAAGAGAGGAGCCTGGTGGGCTACAGCCCATGGGGTCACAAAAATCAGACATGGCTTAGTGATTAAAGAATGACACATGTATCAAACATGGTTTATGATGGAGGTTTTATGGCAGAGAATGAGGAAAAGACTATCTTTTCCCCTTCTCAATAAGTGGCGCTAGGACAATAAATGGCACGATGGTGCCTTATAAGGCACGTCTTTCTCCATGGAAAAAAAATCACTTGGCCCTGCGGCACCCTCTCCTGCTTCTTGATGCTGTGGCCCCGGGTGACGCTGACTGAGCTGCAGAGAGCAGAGAAGGGGTGTGAGGAGTGTGGGGTCACAGGAGATGTGGCCCAGGAGCTCGGATGGGCGGCGACCTCAGGGCAGGGCTGCAGCTGAGGGGACCTTGGGGTGACAGACCGCCCTGGGGGAGTGACACTGTGTCTTGTGCTTTTCAATGACATGAGTGCAGGGCTTCTGGGAGCTTTCCCAGTAATATTGTGAAATTAATGTGAGCTTGCCCTAGGAGCTTATAGAGGTGGATTTTGTAAAATCCTTATGTCCTCAAGCCTAATGCAGCCCAGGATCACGGTAAATGTTTTTTTTTTTTTTTTTTTTGGCTGCATGAGTGAATGGCTTCCTATTAGCTTTTGGCTGAGATTGGTAGGGATGGTACTGGTGGGATTCAAGACCACAGGGATGGGGGAGGGCACTGCTAAAGACAGTGGGGCAGCTGCAGGCCTGAGAGGCAAGGGAGCTGGGGAAGAAAATGGACTTCTTGGGGCCTGGAGAAGAGTCAAGGCACCTAGAGAGCTCTGGGTGATGTCACCTAGCCACTTCTGATCAATCACCCTGGACTTCTCTCCTAGCAGGATGAAGGGTGAGGAGCACTGAGAAGTCTTCTCTGGTTCTTAAGCTGGGTCCACCAAAAACTCCCGAACTGCGGATGGTTTGTCTGAGTTGTCCTTTCCTGGCTGGACTGAGGGATTTTACTTACTCGTGTTTTGTAGCTTCATATCCTCCACCAAATGCACAATCCACTTTCCTGGTGGTGAGAGAGAATCTGAGACCCATGAAAGCTTTTAGTGAAAATCTTTCTTCCAGCCTGCCATCCCTCCTTGCTGAGTGTCTATGTGGCATCAAACTTGTAGTCTTGGTTGAGATGGGAGCTGGTTCAGAAATTGGAGCTGAGCAGAGGGTCAGGACGGCAGGAGGTTTAATGAGTTGGGTTCTGCCCTCAGGAATGGGGACAGTCACTCACCTGTCCCAGCCCAGGAGGCAGAAGAAAGGCCATCAGGAGCAGGAGTGGCTGCATCTTCCAGAAGGTCTGCCCAGGTCACAGCTGCTGGGGTTTCTTCCTTCCAGACACAAAGCATAGAGGAAGGAAGGAGGGGAGGCTCAGTGACCCCACAGACCTCCCAGAGCTGTGCACCCCCAGCCAGGTGTGAGCACGCCACGTGTGCCCGTGTTCTCTGCTGTGGGATAGGTGAGAATGGCAATCACCACACTTGCTCTCCCACTGCAGAGTCACAAAGCAAGAGGAACAACAGGAAAGTGGAGGCTGGGGTGCAGTCAGCGTTACCAAGTCCAAGCTCATTGCTGTACAGAAGGTCAGTAAACAGAGAGATGAGTTGTTTGGGCGAGGAATAGTGACTCTACTTGGAAAGCCAGCAGACCAAGAAGATGGTGGACTTGAGGCCCAAGGAACCGTCTTGCCTGAGTTAGAATTCAGGCTTCTTTTACACTGTGATAGAGGAGGGAGTAGCACCAAACGTTCCTTGGTTCCCGTCAGCCTCCAGAGAGGATGTGTCGGTTTCTTCTGTCCTGCAGTCTTTCCTTGGTGGGCCTGACCAGGATGTGTCCTGTGTTGTAATCAAAGGCATTTTAGCTCAATGCTCATTACTTGGGAGGCAGGACTCCAGAGATGGGCCATCATGTATAATTGAAACTTGAATCCCACGCCCCATTAGTCACTAATCTAACAGACGGCAAGGATTTCTCCATACTAGAGCCGCAGAGGGGCCGGACTCCAGGAGCACCTCAGTGACCGGATGGAGATTGTCTCCATCTCCCCACTGCTGGTTCTTTTGTGATTCTGATGAGATCATGAGTAATTACTCAACAGCAAGGCCCAGGGATCTGAGAGACACAGTTCCTGCCCTTGAGAAGCTGACAGCAGGCAGAGGTAGACTTAGCATCTGTGGGTAGAGAGAAAGATGGTGAGGACCAAGACAAGGGGGTCTGCTTGGCGCCACGTGAGAAGGCAGAGCCTGGACTTGCCTTATGAGCAGGTACCCTGGACACACCCAAGTGCCCCAAACAGCAATCCCATTTCCTATCCTATTACCATTCTAGCCTCATATTTTTGGAGTGTTTAGAATTGCCTGTTTAAATGTAAATATTTCACAACATAGGGAGCTTTTCTTACCCACAGTTCTGAATAAAGTCCTGGGCTTGATACTCACTGGACCAACACAAACCATCCCTGGGACCTTTGGCACTGAGCATCCCTCAGGCTGAGATAGGGGCTCTTCCACCCAAATCAGAGTGCTTATGAGTGGGAAGGGGCTTCCTCTCCAAACATGCTGGTGACTGGTGAGTGATGAAAGAGATACAGATGCTGCTCATCCTAGTAATTACTCCCCACAAAGTATTCTGCAGTGTCCAGAGCCCCATGCTTCAGATAACCCTGGGCCAGGCCATCCTAAACATGTGCAGATGACCCCACACTCTCACCAGTATGAGGACAGAAGAAAGAGGAATGGAAAGGACAGCATGAGGAGTTCTATACAACCCAATCCCAAGTGAACTGAAGGAACAACATCTTATGAACAAATAGAAAAAGAGCAAAAGGAAACATGTTTAAGCATTAATGATGATCTGATGATGATGGAATTCTGCACTTCTTTTAACTTTCTTATTTATATGTTCCATATTTAACTATGATGTCTGTTGCTCTTCCATCCAAAATACATTTTGCCACAGTCAAAACTCACTCACCATGCAAATGTTTAGCAAATCACTCCCCTTCAGCCTAGCCTTCCCTGAGCTGCATGTTTTAAAAATTAGTAACTTTCCCAAATACATTCATAGATAAAAAATTCAGAGATTATTGATAAATAGAAGGAAAATTTGAGTCAATATCCTATAAGTTATATGAAACCTTTGAAACATTAGGATACCCCTGAATCCAAAACTTTTTATTACAAATAGTTTCCTTTAGGGATAAATACATTTATATACACACCCACATGGCGATAATGGAGGTGGGGAGAAGCTGGCTCAGCCCAAGATGGAAGAGCTCCCTCAAGATCACTTGGGGCTGAAGGAAGATATGCTGTCAAGACATCAGAGGCTGTATACAGCCCTGGACCCAGGACCCCAAGACAGGGCTGTGACAGGCACTCAAGCTGGGCCTGGGAATACTGAAGCCCTCCTGAAACTTTCTCAGACTTCTCACCTCTGTCTCTTCTGATGCGGAGAGGGACTCCATTAGGTGAGCTTCACCTTTGTAAACCTCCCCCACTTCTGTTAGGATTGACAAGTGCCCCCCTCAACCCCAGAGCCTCAGGTGGCCCTCCTTCCAAATCTACATTCTCTTCTGCTGCCCCCTGGGCACTGGGATGGGGGATAGGAGAGTAAGTGTGGATGAGGAGGAGGGCATATGGATGAGACACGAGGATCGTTAACAAGAGGGTCATGTGTTCCTGAGGAGGGGTCTTCTTTCTCCGATGGAGCTCATGGGCATCCTGCAGGGGGATAGCTCTGGGGACATGTGACTGGAGGGAACTGGCTGTCGGTACAGCAGAAGTTTTTAGTTCAGAGTTGGAAGGTGGGGGTGGGGTGCGGTGTATGTGCTGGAGGAGGAAGAGCAGAGGTGAATAGACGGTTGCCTGACAGAATACGTGCCTAACAAATGTGTTTAGGTAAATAAAAGAGGAATCAGTGATCTCTGCTCAAGAGAGGAGTTTATTGAATTCCAGGCAGCCCTCCTTCACCCACTTTGCCCAGTGCACCCATTCCAGGGAAGATGGAGGGGTCCATCCCAGGGGCACCTCAGGCTGATCCCTGCCATTTGTACTGTCTCACTGTTGTTTGGATCCAAGACAGAAAGCTGGAGATTCTGGTGTGGGCATTTGGAGTCCTCCCATACTCTTCTCCACAGGACACAATGCCCTGGGCAACACCATTACGCACGAGTGGGCCCCCAGACTCACCCTGTGAGCAGTGAGAGCAAGGGCTGAGCCCACCTTCTTCAGTTATTCTCCCCACTGATGCCCAGGCTGGTATCTGTGAGGGGCCTGGGCTGACATCAGGGCCTTGTTGGTCCTGAGGTTTCATCAAGGCATTGACAATCTTTCTGCTTCTCCCACAGGAAGCCCCTGCCCATATATGACTGTGGGGCAGTGTTCACCCCCCGGGACACAGGACAGAGAGCAGATAGGAGGGCAGGCTGGGGACACAGGGACGGGGTTCATTCCCACTGCCACCCATCCTCCCAGCTCAGCTGACCCAAGGTTTTGCATAGACAACACTTGGGATCTCACCGAGAAATAATTCTTCCTCTTGTTTGGATCTGTAGCATAGCAAGTGATACATTTCCTCTCCCTTTGGATTTTAAGATCTACCTCCTGTAGTTTGTCTGCACAGGGCTTATCTACCCCAAGTTGCCCCCAGTTGGCCAAACTGCACATTATATCTGGCTTCAGCTTCACCAGCTTCTGGGCAGATGATCGGGCTCACTGCATCTGTCAAGTCAGCATCATCAGCTGAAGAAGAGGAAAGGCAGTCTCACCTACTGATGGCCACAGAGACTGCAGGACAGTCGTGGGGTTACCCTCTTCTCAGTGCTCGCACCACAGAAGGGGTTATACAGGAGGAAGGGCAGAAATGAGGTCAGGGGGATGCAGAGCCCTGGGAGGAAAGTGTCCCAGAGCTAGTGCAGCCATGCGTCCCACCTGCAGTAACATGATATCGTTGGACCAAGTCTTACCATTACAAGTCTTACAGTCTGGGTGGCAGATGGCTCCTGTCATGGGGATGACCTGCTGGATCCTCTCTGTTCCATGCTGTTGTGGGCCCTCAGGTGACATTGATTGAGCTGTACAGAGAGAGAGAGAGGGAGCAGGTGTCACAGGAGATACAGGCCAGAGACTGGGAGGGAAGATCACTGCTTGGGACAGTGTAGGACTGGAGGGGAGAGAATTCTAGGCGATGGGCCTGGACCTGAGAATCTCTGAGCAGTCTGTTTCTGGCAGCCCAGGCAGGGAGGACCTCCTGGAGTCCACGAGGGTGTTCAGTCATGCAGAAGCTTGACAGTCACAGAGGGAAAAGTGAGTTTCTCACACGTGTACTCTTGGGTCCAGGGCACAACCTAGGCTTCCTTCCATTCCAGGTATGATCAGTTGCTTCTCTTCATGTGCCACTGGCATGCACTTGGCCCTCTCTCCCCAAAGCTCACCTGGACTTTGAAG